ACACCTGCAGGCCAGAAGAGGGCGCCAGATCTCATTACAGATGGTTGTGAGCCACCATGTGGTTGCTGGAATTTGAACTCAGGACCTCTGGAAGAGCAGTCAGTGCTCTTAACCTCTGAGCCATCTTTCCAGTCCCTTGATTTAATTTTTGTATCCTGGACTTTATTTAATAATTTGAACTTTTTTGGTGTGTGGTATATACTGCATATCTGTATATGTTACATACTTATACATGTATGTATACACATACATACACTGCATGAGATCTGAAAATGCTGATAATTTTAGTTTTTCCTTTTTAATTTGAATTCCTTTCTTTCTTTCTTTTCCTTAATTGACATACTTGGGAAAAACTTTTCATAAAAATCAGGTACAAGAAATATAGTCTTAGCCTGGTGGCGGTGGTGCACGCCGTTAATCCCAGCACTTGGGAGGTAGAGGCAGGCAGATATCTGTGAGTTTGAGGCAAGCCTGGTCTACAAGAGCTAGTTCCAGGACAGACTCCAAATCTACAGAGAAACCCTGTCTTGAAAAACTAAAGAAAAACAAACAAGGGGACTGGGGAGATGTCTCAGTGGTTAAGAGCACTGACTGCTCTTCCAGAGGACCGGAGTTCAATTCCCAGCAACCACATGGCAGTTCACACTTGTCTGTAACTCCAAGATCTGACACATTCACACAGACATGTATGTTGGTAAAACACAATGCACATAAAATAAAAATAAATAAATTAAAAACAAACAAACAAAAAACACTAAATGAAAATAAAATACAGTCTTACAGTATTTTGAATCAGAACAAAATGACTGATTGGGCTAGACTTTCTTAGTATTGTGCACAAGACAACTAGGAAGTTCTTTTTTGTTTTGTTTGTTTTGTTTTGTCTTTCATTATGAATTAAAAAATACCTCTCCCTGTAAGAATAAGCCCCTTACTGTTGCCCAACACAGAGTGGTCAGCCTTGAAACTATTTACATACCACTCACAAGGGTGAGCTCACAGGTTATATTTATATGTATTTGTGATTGCGCAAAATATATTTCCTTGGCTAGTGCATTTGACTAAATCAACTGTAGTCAATGGAGAAAGTAACTGAGTGCTCCACCCTGTACCCCATGCTAGTTTTCCATGATCTGGTCCCTTATTCCAGTGGGATAATTGGAATAGTCCAGTATTAGAAACTGTGAATTAGGCCTATATTTTCTTCCTCATTAAAGAAATGTGGGCTGCTTTGGAGAGGGATAGAACATTTAAGTAGAGTTGGGTTAATAGCGTATTCAACATTTTTCAAGCATTTATTTTCTGTTTGCTTATTTATTTATTTGCTTATTTATTTATTTAATGTGTATGAGTGCTCTGTCTGCATGTACACCTTTTTATGCCAGAAGAGGGCATCAGATCCCACTATAAATGGTTGTGAGCCACCACCTGGTTGCTGGTGATTGAACTCAAAACTTCGAGAAGAGCAGCCAGTGCTCTTAACCTCTGAGCCATCTCTCCAACCCTGTGTTTCTTTTCTTTATACCAGTTCTGTGATATTTAACATTTCCAAGCATTTATTTTATTATTCTGATACCAAATCGGTGAGATGAAAATTATTGTGGGAAACACAGTGACAGGAATGAGCTTACACCTATGTAGGTTTCACTGCAGAGCTTGGAGGCTATGGAGGGGCTGCTCTTTGGGAGCTTGCCACAGGCTTTGCGAGAGGCTTTGCAGCGCTCACAGTCTAGACCTTTAAACTGGGTGTGACTATGTGCTAGGCTGCATAGATCCTTCTGTCTACCTACTTGGAGCAAGTCTTTCTCCGTCCCTCCAGCCAGCTCCTAAATCATGACAAGGAGACTTATTATTAATTATGAAAGCTTGGCTGATAGCTTAGGCTTGTTTTTCGTTAGCTCTTATAACATAAATTAACCCATTTCTGTCTGTCTACATGCTGCCCCGAGGCTTGTTTACCTTTTCTACCTACTGTCCATACTTCTTCCTGTCTTCCCAGCATCCTCTTTGTGCCCAGTAATCCTGCCTAGCTGTTGGTCATTCAGCTTTTTATTTACTACTTATTAAATCAGAGTGGCATATTTTTACACAGTGAAATCAAACATCTTGCAACACCCACTGTACCTCCGTGCGGAGCTTTTTACCTTCAGTTATTAGTTTGGCTCCTACCCAAAGCTGGTCATCACTTTAGTCTAGAACAATGCACTTCAAGTTTTGATAGATGTTAACCTCTTAGGGAGGGGAGAAGGGTGCATTTTTATTTTCAAGTTTAGATTCCCGTGACACGTGGAGTTGTGTTTTGCAGTGGGGAATAGTGTCATCGTTACCCTGAACAGCAGATGTTCCGAGGCATAGCATCAGGCCGAGCTTGTTGCATCTAGCTCCTGTCTCTTGTTCTAGGATTTTCATTTGTTTCTAAGAATCTGTGGGTTCTATTGGTGGCATTTCTGCCATAACCTTTTCTTGTGACTGATTTTGGCAACATGCCTATTGTTGTCTAGTTTCTAGAACTAGGCTGGCGTCACACTTGTGAGACTTCTTCCCAGAATGGCGTCCTCCCCCGGACAGCACAGCGCCGCTCTGCTGGCTGTCCCTTGGCTGGCACCTCGGTATTCGCTGAGCTCTTGAATCTGTTGAAACCCGTTCATTTTTATTTTGCATCCTTAGTCACCCTGATCCCCGTGGTTGTGTGGAGAACACGGCCAATTTCACATGAAGGGTAAAAGGCAGAAGTCTCCCATGTGTGCACCCCCTGTCCCTCTGTAGTCTCCTGGGTGGGCACCACCTCAGTTCTGGGGATCTTGCGTTCTTTCCTGGCTTGGCGCTTCCTCTGGTGCACTTTAGAATGCCATGTGAGTAGACAGAAGGTGGGGCACAGAACGTTGTCCTCATTGCCTGTATTCCTTGGTTGTAAGTGTGCTACTGCCAGATGTGCGCTTGGACACCAAACACGTGTGTAGACAGTGAGGCGTGACTCAGGAGAAACAATGGGCAGCTGTCAGTCATTCACTCCCCACTCCGTGAGTGGTCATTGAGGTCTGCATAGCGCTGCAGGCTGGGGTCACAGGTGAAGAAACACCTTTTTACCTCAAGGATTTTATACTCTAGTTGATGAGATAGAGACAGACAGGAAAGTGAGGGATTCTCATACTGTGTTACCATGTGGAATGTTCCGGAAGCAGCCGGGAGAGACGTAGAAGACGAAGTGAGACCATCCCCAAAGCAACAGTGCTTAACCGCAGCCTGCAGGTTTCTTTTCACCTTGGCACTGAGCTCCTGGGGTGTTTGGCTTCAAGCTCAGGTTTTTTTGTTTTTCCGTTTGTGACTTGCTCTGTCTGGTCTGCTGGTCTCCTTTTCATCTTTGTGTTGTTTCTGTGTCATAGAAATAGTAGGTGGTTTCTATCCTTACACATTCAAAAGGAGTTAAAATAGGTATGATAGAATATGTGGATCAGACTTCTAGAAAATAAGTAAGACCAGAAAAATCAGTAAAAAGTGTTAGTTTGGGGCACTGCTGTTACAATATTCTTGTTTTTAGGTGAAAAGTTTCTGTACTGAGTTTCAGTGTTCTTAAGATAGTACAAGATTTCACATAGCACAAGGTAAACATATTCAGTATTTTAATAAGATAGTATAGGATTTCACATAGTACAGGGAAACATGCATGGAGTGTTTTAATAAGGTTTTATAACTTGCTTTCTTATTTTTAATATAGATGTATATTATATGTATATGAAAAATGAAATATTTGTATTTGGTTACACAGAGACAGGGTTTCTCTCTGTAATGGTCCTGGCTGTCCTAGAACTCACTTTGGAGGTCAGGCTGACCCTGAACTCACAGAGATTCTTCTGCCTCTGCATAAGCCACCATGCCTGGCTCTTAGAAGTTTTTTATTTCTAATTATGTGTATGTATGTATGTCTGTGTGGGGTATGTCACGTGAGCGCCATGCATAGGGAGGTCAGAGAAGGCACTGGATGCACTGGAGCTGAAGTTCCAGGCGGTGTCAGCCACTTGATAGACGTTGGGAGCCAAACACGTCCTCTGGAAAAGAAGCACACTTTCTTTTTGTTGGCTTTTTTGTTTGTTTGTTTGTTTTTGTTTTGTTTTTTGAGACAGGGTTTCTCTGTGTAAGCGTCATCCTGAAACTCACCCTGTAGACTAGGCTGGTCTCATCCACTTCCTAAGTGCTAGGATTAAAGGCATGTGCTGCCACCACCCGGACGTGGCACTGCTTTTTAAAAAACTACTCACTGAGATCAGTTTGTGCTGCTGTATGGGTGTGGGGCTGCCCACCAAGTGTGGTCAGCCTACTAGGGACCACATCCCTAAAGCAGACTCTCCTATAGCAGCTGTCCATAGCTCTTCAGTGAGGGGCCAGTGCACTTTGTCATCTTCAGTGTACAGCCCAAACATACCACACCAGAGTTCTGCAGGGTCTCTTTTCTATAGTGTGTGCATTTTCTTTTTTCTATTTTTAATCATTATGTACTTATTACTTAATGTTACATTACTTTTAATAGGTGTTTGCCTGTGTGCGTGTGCTCCTTAGTTCACATGATGAAATATGAAATATGACTGGCGTTTCCTTGTTTGTTAATCTAGCACAGGGAGACACACCCTTCCCTCTTAATCTTAGTGCCAACCTTTGGCCAGGTAAGCTGGATGCGGAGGGTAGAGCCATTGGCTGCTAGGGGTCCAGTTCTGTGTACTGAGCTGAACTGACCCTATAGAAGTGCCACTGTGTTGCTCTAGAGGTACAACAACAGCCTTGCTGTATTATTGTTATTCCCAATTTAGGAATCAAGAAAGGGTGGCAAGATAAGGTTGCTAAATAGCAGGTCTTTTTTTCCTTCCTTCCTTTCTTCCTTCCTTCCTTCCTTCCTCTCTTTCTTTCTTTCTTTCTTTCTTTCTCTCTTCCTTTCTTCTAGTAACTATATGAGGAAAAGACCATGTGGTATCTGGGACATTTAAATCTAATATTTCATTTTCTTTGTAACAGGTTAGTGGTTACCTGGATGATTGTACCTGTGATGTTGAGACCATCGATAAATTTAATAACTACAGACTTTTCCCAAGACTACAGAAACTTCTCGAAAGTGACTACTTTAGATATTACAAGGTATTTTCAATTTTTTTCTTTAAGATTTATTTATTTATTATTTATACAGTGTTCTGCCTACATGCCAGAAGAGGCACCGGATTTCATTTTAGATGGCTGTGAGCCACCAAGTGGTTGCTGGAATTTGAACTCAGGACCTCTAGAAGAGCCTTAACCTCTGAGCCATCTCTTCAGCTCCAGTATTTTCAGTTTTTTTTTTTTAATGTTAGTGTGCTGTAATGGATGATAACATTTTCTTAGATGACTAAACTTTGGTACTGCCATTGAAATTGGTAATTATTAAATGTGTACAAAGTTTAAAAAATTTAAAGAAAACTTAGTGAGCCAGGCGTAGTGGTGATACATACCTTTTACTTTCAGCACTTGGGAGGCAGAGGCAGACGGATCTCTGTGAGTTTGAGATCAGCTTGGTTTACAGAGCGAGTTCCAGGACAGTTAAGGGCAACATTGTGAACCATCTCAAAGAACCACAACCCCCCCCCCCCCCCCCAAAAAAACCAAAGTAGTATGTGTGTGTGCACGCATGCAGGCGTTCATGCCATGGCATGTCTGTGGAGGTACGATGACAACTTAGTGAATTGCTTCTCACCTTCCCACCTTTATGTGAGTCCTGGGCTCCAGCCCAGGCTGTCAGGTATTTCGCGGCATCTTTACCCCCTGGACGCCTCTGACTCTTAAATGTATACAAAGTTTAGTAGGAAAACTTGGTTCACAAGTGAACATTGGACTTGGTGTGCGTTTTTGCAAGCACCTGTGCTTGAGAGACCTGAGGACAGCACTGGTGTCGTTCCTCAGGCACAGTCTCTTGTTGTTTACAGACCTCTCTCGCTGGCCTGAGTTGTGGCAGGCTGTACTGGTTGCCTGTGTAATCCTGTCTCTTGAGTCCCCAGCTCTGGGATTGCAAGCATGGGCCACCTTGAATGCTTTCTTTCCATGGGGCTTCCCAGAAGTAAACTCTTGCCCTCGTGCAGTTTACCAGCTGAACTCACCATGGCCCTGATACTTTTAACTTCAATAATTTGTGGAGTTAGAAACGAACGGGTTAAATTGAAATTAAAATAGAAATTTGTGTGTTATTCTCAAAATATTCTGTTTTGTCAGTCATCAGATGATCAGATGGGTTCCAATTAAGATAAGCTTTTTTTTTTTTTTTTTGAGAGGAGGCAGTTTTGAACTTACTAAACAGTTACAGTATCTGACCATGAGAACACTACTGAAAAAGTTTGGAAAACCTGGTCCATAGTTCATCCCTGTTCTCTGCCGATTGTCACTAGCTTAAATGGGAGCTTATGGGGGTGAGGGTGGAGGTGGGGGTAAGGGGGGCAGGCTGTTGAGCCTTGACTCCCAGCTGTCATCCGCAGAGGGTCTGTGTCTCTCAAACCAGCTTACCAGCTCACACTAGCTACTTGCCTAGTAATGGGAGAGACGGTGTAATCTCAGATAAGCCCTTGCCACAGCCTGGGATTGGGATTCCAGCAGTCGATTATACTCTCAGGGCTTTATAGTTTTATAACTTCCTATTTTGCAGGTAAACTTGAAGAAGCCGTGTCCTTTCTGGAATGACATCAGCCAGTGTGGAAGGAGAGACTGTGCTGTCAGACCCTGCCATTCTGTAAGAACTGTCCCGGTTGTTCCTGCCGTTCGGCCACTAGCGGTCAGACTATAGTTTGATCCTGTTTAAATATAGCATTCAATATCTGCATATCATAAACCTAACTTACAGATGTTCGTTATTTGTGTGTGTGCAGCACTGTGTCATGGAGGCTAGAGGCTGACATCAAGTGCTTTCTGTCCCTTTCCACTGTAGTTCTGAGATGGAGCCTCTTACTGAATCTTGCAGTTCACTGATGAGACAGGGCGACCACTGCCTCTTCAGCTCTGGGTTTGCAGGGGCTGCCTCTAGCCTGGCTTCTTTCTCTGATCCTGAGGATTTAAACTTAGGTTCTCATTTTGTGTGGGAGGCGTTACTGACTGAGCCATCTGCCTCCCAGCTGCATAAAATCTATTCTGAATTACAATATCTTTATGGTAATATAATAACAATAATGATGATGATGATAATTATTATATATAATAAAATAATAATTATATGTTATTATTATTATTATACTTGTAAAAACCTGCAGCATTTCAAAGTGTAAAAAAAGCAAATCTCTGCTCTCACAGTAGAATACTTCAAACTTCAAGAGGAAAACAGCTGTCAAGCCAGGAGAGCAATCTCTCTAATAAAAGATTGAACTAGGGGCTGGAGAGATAGCTCAGCGGTTAAGAGCACTGACTGCTCTTCCAGAGGACCTGGGTTCAATTCCCAGCACCCACATGGCAGCTCACAACTGTCTGAAGATCCAGTTCCAGGGGATCTGACACCTTCACACCAGTGCACATAAAATAAAGTTAAATAAAATGTAAGAAGTATTTAAAAAAAAACAAAAAGATTGAACTAGTTAGTGGCTGCTGGGTTCTCCAGGAGGGACTACCATTGCCTTCACTTTTACCCACTGAAGAGCCCATTAGGCCCCAGCTCAGAGTCCTGACGCACGGTCTCCAGATGACCTGGCTAAACTCAGTGTGTCTAAAAAAAAAAACAACAAAATCATGAATGTGGGAAGAGGCTTTTCAGGAGGAGGGGAAGAAGACACAGACGTGATATTAGAATGCACGTTATATGTGTATGAAATTTTCATAAATAAATTAATAATGAAAGCTAAAAAAGAAAAGCCTAATATCCGTCTCAAAATATACTTGTTATATATATATATATATATATATATATATGAATATGATTTTCAGAGAAGTACCGTGATTCAGAAAGATAATATAGTTTCGTGAGGCATGAGAGAGAAAAATGAGATAATGAAAGGACTGTAAAGATACCAATTAGCATGTGATTTGAATAATGAATATTCTTTGTGGGTGAGCAGGGTGCCAGGTCTTGCCCTTAAGTTTGTGCTTTAGTAGAGAGGAGAAACACTAATCGACCCTTTGAGCACACATTCCACAGCCCGATTGCAAAGTCTCTGAACTATACACGCTAAGAGCAGAGCAGCTGGGCCCAGAGCACTCAGGAGACAGGGAGGGACTGGAATACTTGCACTCCCCACAGACAAGGCCTGTGCTTCATCCTCATACTTCCTCACAGGGCGAACTGTTGGGACTGAGGAGTGACTAAGGAGCACGCACAGATTTGGGGTGTTCGCCACAACTTACTCAGCCCATGTACCTGCATTTGTCCTGTGCACCACAATAGTGACAGAATGTGACCATTTTCATATTCCATGACAGCACATGGTCATTTTTGAGAGAAGATTTTGTTTCATCGCTCTTGCTACATAGAACAGGCTGGTAGGATTAAAGCTGTGTGCTACTACACCTGCTAATTTTTATTTACTTTAAAGAAATTATTTAAAATTTTCTAACTCTTTTCACTTAAAAATAACCTCCAGTAATTTGTGAGTTTTTCTCGTAAGTTTTAAGAACTTAAAATATTTTTCCAGAAGGCAGAATAAGCGTGTTTCTTTTTCAGGATGAAGTTCCTGATGGGATTAAGTCTGCGAGCTACAAGGTATGCACATACACTTACTGATGCGACTGTTGTCTACTGCGGTCTCGAAATCCATCCCCCGCTCTCTGCAGTGAGACCTTGAGCAGTCATTGGTGACGGCCAGTTTCGCTTCATGTATATTTCTTACTCCATTCTTCCAATCATTTTAAAGCCAAACTCAGATAAATCATTTTTAAGAGTGATGCAAAATTAGAGCATTTCAGAATTAAATTAAATGCCATTCAGAATTTTCTCAAAGACTAGAACTTAACGAAACATTTGGGTTAAGACATCACACATATTTATATATAATGGGTATTTTCAGAGTTAGAAAATGTCTACAGAGTAGTCAGCTGAGGTTATTGGTAATTTCAAATAGATTAATCATAAAGTGTAGTTTTGAAGACAATTGTGATTAGTTTTATAGAAAATTTAAAATAGTAAACTATTGGAAAAAATGTTCTTTAGACCTAGTAAAGTGATAAATGTAATTAAGAAGCTGATTCAATTTCTAAATGGTACTAAGAAGTTACTTTAACTAAAAAAATTCAGATAAGGGTTTAGGTTTTTGTTTTAGTATATATACATAGACATATGATACATTTTTTTGAGTAAATTTAAAAGCATATTGTTTCACGTGTGTTTGTATGTGTGTAGATAGGGCCTTTTATTTCTGCAAACTGAGCACTGTCTTCCAGGCTAGCTGGTTCTTGAGTTTCTAGTCATGTCTGTCTCTGCCTTAAATCGCTGTAGGGTGCTGTGATTACAGATGCCCTTGCATCTGGCTTCTTAAATGGGCTCTGCGGAGCAAGCCCCAGTCATCAGGCTTGCGTGACAAGTGTGTCTACTTGTTGGACTCCCAGGGTCTTTGATGTTCATTTGAAATTATATTTGATATAATTTTCAGTCTATGGCCATACCCTTGACCATGCCAAATCTCATCTGAAATAATTTCCAACATACAGCAAAATTGTAAGAATAACATAAATGTTGGAACCTGCTCTGGCAGGAATCAGCTGGGATTACCTGGGAGGGAGGCACGAGGTTGAGGAAATGGCAGATTGAGAGAAACAGAGACAGAAACACAGGATAGATCAGGGGACTGAAGGTGAATATCAACCAGCCCTAAGTTTATTTCAGAACTTGCTTTTATACAGAGTAGAGGCTGAAGGCAGAACAAAGAGCAGCACTGTCAGCTAACAGCCTGTGCACTGTCCTGAGCTGGACGTGCTGGCCTACACCAGCCCAAGGCCTTTCTCTGTAGCTTTGAAGTCTGTCCTGGAACTAGCTCTTGTAGACCAGGCTGACTTCAAACTCACAGAGATCCACCTGTCTCTGTCTCCTGAGTGCTGGGATTAAAGGCGTGCGCCACCACCTTTTATACCTTTTTTGTTTGTTTTTGTTTTTTGTTTTTCCAGCCCAAGTCTTAATAAATAATGCATTCTTTCCCATGGACTAAAATGCTCTTTCCCTTGAGCTTACTCAGGAGTCTCTCACAGCCCTCAAGGTTACTGGAAAAAGCAGAGCAGGCAAACTTGAACTCAAATGATTTATAAGTCAGAATTGACTCCCTATGTACACGTACACTGAGCCACATGTGGGCACCCATACATAAAAAAAAAATTGTATACTGTAGTCTTTGATTTTTTTTTTTTACATATTTTAGCACATTTGTTTTTTCATGCTTTTTCTGTATAGATATTCTGAGCCATTTGGTTGCAGATCAAGTAGGTTGTATCTCTTTACTCTTTCTTATATTTAACTGTGTATAAAAGAACTTGAGTTTCAAGAAGTTTTTTTTTAAGTTGAACTGTCTGATATATTAACTAATAAAATAAAGCACCTGTTGTCAGTCAATAAATATTTCAAAAACTCTGAGCACTTCAGTTATTTAATGTTCCCTAAAAGTTTAGTCATTTCAGTTCTTTCAGTACCCTAGCGTGGACAGAAATTCTTACGATCATCCTAACAAGACTATTGTAGGTGTAGCAAATATTTGTGGCCTCCTGATTCCAGTCTTACCGGCTAGTGGTGATGTTTTCAAGACTCAAGCTTGGTCTGTGCTACGCACAGGATCTACTAGAAAAAAATGTATGTGTGCATGTGTAGACATCAAGAAGAAACAGAGTAGGTAAAGCGTGTGTTTGAAGTACCTAAAGCTATAGCATACTTTCTGTAAGGTGCTCTTCCAATTATGGTGTAGGAAGGAGCTGAGACCCACGATCTAGGATGGCCACCGCTGTCAGGTGGCCGGTGCTTATAGTCAGGGCACTGGGACTGATGTACCATGCCTTCCATGTACCTCAGAAACTTTTCCTTGTGCACATCTTAGTCACTGTTTGTTACTGCCATATTCTTTATTTTTTGAACATAATAGTAAATTGTGCTTCCGACAAAAAACTAAAGGCAAGAAACCTTTCACCCACTTTTTGGATCTAACAGCTCATTTTATGCCAGGTTGAGGCAGAGGCAGGTGGGTCTCTGAGTTTGAAGGCAACCTGATCTACAGAGCGAGTTTCAGGACAGCCAGGCTACACAGACAGAGCTCATTTTACAAGCTTTGAAGCTGGGTTGATAGTGGTATGTAACATGAGTCTTGACTGACTTTAATGCCTGAAAAATATTTAAGGTCGTGTGGCTCATGTCTGTAGTCCAGCATTCGAGAGGTTAAAGAAAGCAGGGAAATGACGTGTTTAAAGGTATGTGACCCTGTCTCAAAAACAAAAGCAAAGCAGCAGTTTTAAAATGTGGTAAATCTGTTTGTTTTTGCCCTGTTCAGTACTCTGAAGAAGCTAACCTCATTGAAGAATGTGAACAAGCTGAGCGGCTTGGCGCAGTGGACGAATCTCTGAGGTGATTTGATCTTCAGGTATTTTGTTTTTCTTCATCACAGCTGACTGGAAAAAGGAATAATGCAATTTTCCTTATTTGAAGTGAGGAAACCCAGAAGGCTGTTCTTCAGTGGACCAAGCATGATGATTCTTCAGACAGCTTCTGTGAAGTTGATGGTATGTTTGTTCCCAGTGATGCCTTAAGAGAAAACCAGCCTGCCCCCTCTTTCCTCTCACTTTCCTTTCCCTCCCCCTCCTCTCTCTTCCCCTGTCCTTCCCTTTCTTTAGTTGTATTAAGCATTGAACTCAGGCTTTGGATGTGCTAGGTAAGTCTTTCACCAGAGCCGCTCCATCCAGATGCCGCCCCTCAGTTCTTTTCAGTTAATTTTAAAATCTCAGTCCTAACAGTGTGAAGGGCCCTCAGAAAGCTTAACATCGACTCATACGACTTAGCAGTGGCATTCCTGGTGTGTAACTCAGAAGAACTGAGAAAGACTCAGGCAAAGGTAGACCAGTGTTCATTCAGAAGAGGCACAAGGTAAAATAGTCTATGTGTCTATCACTAGATGCAAACATAATTGAAATGTGTTATGTGTATGTCATACAAATACACATAAATGCCATTGAGCCATAAGAAGGAGTGAGTTTTCAGCAAATGCTACAGTGTGGCAGAACCCTTGAAAATAGTGGGTGAAAGAAGCCAGACACAAAGACAAATGTGGTGTGGCTCACCTGTGAACTGTCTGGAAAAGGCAGAGTCATAGCAACAGAAAATGGATTAGTGGTTAGTAGACGGTCTGGGATAGTATATGGAGAGTTAATTGTTAAATGGTCACAGTTTCTGTTTAGGGCTGTGAAAAGTTTTGGAAACAAAGTGGCAATGATTATACAGCAGTGTGAATGTACTCACGGTTCACTGAATATGGGGAAATGGCTAATTTCATAATAGGTATTTTTACCACAGTAAAAAGAAAATTGAAATTTTCTGTAAAAAATTTACCTCTTAATGTTTTGCAGTTTTATGCATCAAATAATTTATAGTTCTCTCTCTTTTGCATTTTGCAAAAGTAGCTAAAGTATAGGAATGAGGAGAATATCTTCTGTAAATGCTGCTGGATCATTAGCCTTTTCTGTGGCGATGGTCTTTGTGGCTTTTGGTGCAGAGAATTGAACCATGACATCACGTCTGAAGCTGGTGCTGAAACTGGCAACCTTAGAACACATTAGGAGTTTGATCAAGATATCTTGATCTTCTTTTTCTAGTATCTTTTTCTATTTGAATTATTGACCTCTGAATTGGCTAAGCAAAATTAAATCTGAATTTTGAAAGTTTTCTGACTCTTAAGTAGTGAACTAATGAACTTTTAAAAAGTTAGTGAAAAGAGCTGGGCATTGGGCTGGAGAGATGGCTCAGTGGTTAAAAGCACTGCTTGCTCTTCCAAAGGTCCTGAGTTCAATTCCCAGCAACCACATGGTGGCTCACAACCATCTGTAATGAGATCTGGTGCCCTCTTCTGGACTGCAGGAACACATGCAGGCAGAACACCGTATACATAATAAATAAACATAAAAAAAAAAGAGCTGGGCATTGATGGTGGATGCCTTTAATTTCAGCATGGCAGGGGCAGAGGCAAAGTAGAAGCAGGAGAATCTCTTGAGTCACAGGACCACTAGGGCTTTGTAGTGAGACCTTGTCTCGAAACTTATCCCCCACACACAAAAAAGGAAAAGGACTTTAAATTTTTTCAAAAAAAATTTTTGAAGTTTGCACCACCACCGCCCAGCTCTTTTTTCTTTTTTTCCTGCTAGGGATTGAACCCAGGGTTTTGCCTGTGCTAGGCAGTTGCTCTCCTGCTAAACAAACTCTCCTCATTCCCACTAGTCAGTGATGAGCTGCCGTGCTAACGTGGATAGAAACAGACTCATTGTGTAGTTTGTGAGCATTGACTCACATGTTTTCTTAAACTCTAAAACTCATGTATTCCTGTTCTTACCACTTATAAGATCAGGATTTTTTGCAACCAGGTGAACAGTGAATGTGGCTGTTTTCTTCTTCCTATTTTCCTTTATCCTAAAATGTTGTTCTGAAATAGGTGAGATTTAGTGATACATTTTATTTTGCAGACATACAGTCCCCTGATGCTGAGTATGTGGATTTACTCCTTAATCCTGAGCGCTACACAGGCTACAAAGGGCCAGATGCTTGGAGGATATGGAGTGTCATCTATGAAGAAAACTGTTTTAAGTATGTACTATTATCCTAGACTTGTGCAGATCAGGTTCATGTCCTTAGAAGATTGATTTGGACATAGAAATTTAAATGTCATTAACCCAGTTCCCGCTGGGGCACTGACTGCAACAAATACTTATTTCAAGACTTACATAATAGTAGACCTATTTAGTATTGGAACCACTGAGCAAACATTCCTGAGTGAATTAGAGTGGATTATAGGGTCTCCTTATGTAGATGAAGTAATTCAGAACCAGGGCTTTGCTTCATTCACCAAGATCACTATAGTCAGTGGTGGGGTGTAGATTAGAATCGCAGTTTAAGAGGTTTTCATTACTCTCCTCTTGCCTTTCTGTGGCCACAGTTATTTTCTCCTGTTCAAGTTAAACTGAGTTCAGAGAATAGCTCTGAGGTGATATTTTGTAATCACTGTGCACTGTGTTAAACATACCATGGACATTGCTTCTCTAGTTCTTATGGTAACAATTTATTATAGTCATAACTGCTTACGGATGGAGAATCAGACTTAAGCTAGGTGTGTGTTCAGTGCTTAGGGGAAGCATTCCGTTTGTTCTCTTAACCAGTGCAATGGACATTGATTGCTGGGTGACCGAGAAATGCTTAAGGTTCTTCACTTGGAAACTTGAAGGCTCTAAAGAATGTGCTAGCTAACTTTGGGGAAAAACCTGTGTGTGCATTTGAGTGTTTAAGTGCGTGCATTTCTATGTGCATGCGCATGTGTGATTCTCTCAGGGATAAAACCTTTGCATGATAAAATGCTGGTGTTCATACAGTACAATTCTTTTGTTTGTAGACCGCAAACAATTCAAAGGCCTTTAAATCCTTTGGCTTCTGGTCAAGGTGAGTTACTTGCGTTGCTATTGTTAATAAACCAAGCTAGTGAGCCTGGGTTAGAGTAGAGGAAGCAGGGTTGAGTGGCAAGGGTGGCTGAAGTCATGTAGTCCACTGGTCCTGTTTCTAGAGAAGTTATATCTCACGCTTGTGAAGGCACAGCTGGTTTTCTTAAGGATAGTCATGGTTTTAGACCATTGTAATATGAAGATTAGGTTATGTATTTATTGTCTGATTTTGCAACACACTGTGTAGTTGTTTGATTACTTCAGATTTGTTTAGCCTCCAAATAAATGAATATCCAAATCATTTACCTAATTTTTCAAAAATCTTGAACTGGGACGTTTAATGGTACGGTGCTTGGTCAGTATGTCTCAGGTCCTGGGCTTGACTCCCAGCCAAACAAGAAACAAAACAAAACAAAAAACCCTCAAGTAAAAGGCTTTAAATTCTATTCATATTCCATGTATGGTCTGATTGTAAATCTACATGGTTTTATATCTCACTGACAGTTTTCACTGTCTATATACACTCAATATCTGGTCTACATGCTACCTTTCCCAACACATCTTCCTTCCCAAGTGGAAGTCATCTTTGGCTCTTTCTGAAACAGTCTATGCTGTGTTTCCCTCCTTCAGATAACCTGCTTACTGGGAGCATCATTATGCTATGTGTGTGTGTTTGTATGTATATACACATATGTATACATATATGTGTGTATGTATGTATCCATAATCCCTTAGTACTTTGGGATATGGGCAGCAATTATTTCAGTATAGAACCTGGTAATTATGGAGTAAGTTGCTAGATAAATGATTATGGGAATTGTTTTCTCCAATGAATAATTTGAATAATTCTTTACAAGAATTAGGGAAATTGAAACATTTTATAATTATAACGTCAATAAAACAGTTTGACTTTGGATATTGTTGAGAGCTGTGAAAAGAATCAGTTATTCTTGCTGCAAATGATTCTTTACCATGTGCAAGGCATTACGTAGATGCCAAGGGTACTTACTGCCTTCTCAGGTAGTAAGCATTCATGTCCTTATTGCCTTAGTTACTTCTCTTCTGTTGTGGAGAGTCACCATGACCAAGGCAAAGCATTTAGTTGAGGGCTTACGTTTTCAGAGGGTCGTAAAGTCCATGACCATCATGGTAGGCAGCATGCAACAGGCAGAGGTTGCGGCTGGAGAGAAGCTGAGAGCTCACACTTGACCCACAAATACAAGGCAGAGGGAGAACTAAGCTGAATGGCCTGGGCTTTTCAAACCCTAAAACCCAAACCCAGTGACAAACTCCCTTGAACAAAGCCATATCTCCTACTCTTTCCCAAACAGTTTGGAGACCAAACTTTGAAACACAAGAGCATGTAGGGACCATTCTTATTCAGACCATCAGTTACTTTCTTCCAGTATGAATTTACTGATACAGTCCTTGAGCCGAGTGTTGGTAGTGAAATCCCAGCATTCGAAGGACAGAGGCAGGAGGATCTCTGTGAGTTCTAGGCCAGCCTGGTCTACAGAGTGAGCTCCAGGATACCCAAGCTGCAAAGAAATCCTGTCTCGAAAAACAACAAAACAAGCAAAAATTCTTTGGTGCACTTTCACCAAATATGTAAGGTTTCACTTTCTTAGTTTGTTTGAGAAGATGCTGTCAGTTCGCACACACTGACTGCTGTCAGGCAGTTAGGAAGAAAGAACATTTTAGGTTGTATAGAGTTGTATGTGGTGACTCAGTGGAAGCTTCGTAGATAAATGTTTATTATGAACGCACATTGTGACTTAGTCATCATCACCCATTTTAGTCAGAATGGGAGCAACTTCAATATTTACCAAAAACTGGCCACATGATGTATGTGTAGGGACACAATATTATACAGCTATAACAGACATTGTTATGAATTTGTGTTTATTTAGATAAAGGATGATCTTTAACATCTTTAACAGCACAGTGAAGGAAAAAAGTATATATGAAAGCAGGTCTCTAGTTTATAGAACATTATCTCTAAATACTTACACACACACACACATAAAAATCACAGTTTTAAAAATAAAAATTGTATTTGTCATGCATGTAAAACACTGATACCTATGAAACCTTTAATCCCAGCACTTGGGAGGCAGAGGGAGGCGGATCTCTGTGAGTCTGAGACTAGCCTGGTCTACAGAGTAAGTTCAAGGACTAGCTCTGTAGCTACTGAGAAACCCTGTCTTGAAAAACCAAAAAAAAAAAAAAAAAGACATCCATGATGTTTTATGTTTTACAAACAACAGTGATGCTCAAGAAAAACACAAGGTGAACTTGTGAACTTGATGCTATCAGTGGAGGTTTTAATGTCTCAATGATGCTTTGTCTGGAATTTTTTTTTAAACTCTAACAGACTTTTGCCTATATATTACGGCTTCTGATTTTGTTTCTTTATGGGAATCCTTTTTGCAGGCTTTTTTTTTTTTTTTTTTTTGGTGGGGGCGAGCTTTGAGGCAGGGTTTCTCTGCGTCGGTCTGGTTGTCCTGGAACTCTGTACACCTGGCTGGCCTCAAACTCACAAATATCTGCCTGCTTCTGTGTCTTGAATGCTGGGGTCATAGGTGTATGCCACCACCGCCTGGCTCTTTCTGAGAATTCTGTGTGTGTGAATGAATGTTTGAGTCTCTGTCTATACGGTTTCTTGTTTTCTTTTTTTAGGGGTCGACTCTTTTTCCCCCCGCTTGTTTTGTCCTATCCAGGTTTATTTCTTTTTATTTTATCCTTTTTTTAAATGTGCCTTTTGTTTTCTAATGTGAAAGAACAAGAAAGGGTGTGGATTTGGATAAGTGAGGAGGTGGGGAGGTTCTGGGAGGAGCTGGGGAGGGGAAAATGTGATCAGAAAATACTGCATGAAAAATTTTTTCAATAAGAAAATATAACTTAAAAAAGAAAAATAGGGAAAAATGAAGATATTTCAGTAGTAAGCAGCTCCATACAATCTGCTGCACTGTGAAGCATTTGGATTTTATAGTCTTTGAAGACATTCCTAAGGTTAAATCTTCTGTCCCTCTTGGGGTTCAAAGCAGCAGTAGTGCAGGTCTTTAGCTAGAACTGTGTTGTAGGTTAGGGTAATAAGTGTAGAACACTGCTGGCTGAGTGGACACGGGAGCTGCAGCTGCTCCCGGTGCTGTGCGTCCCCTCCTGTGAGGGCGCGTGAGTTCCATGAGCCTAGCTATGGCTCGACAGAGTGCTGGCTCTGGCACTCCTTCTGTTGATTGCCCTTGTGTGGATGCACTGACCGACTACAACGGATCGTTGTTATATTATTTTCGTGTAAGTGTAGCATTTCATAATCGTTTAGAAGTGGTTTATAATAATTCATGTTTTGTTTTGTTTTTCAGGAAAAAGTAAAGGTATGTACCTGATCTTGTATTTTATACACCAGGTCTGCTTGGGTGTCGAGATGTGTGTTCCGGTGTTGTGGCTATGCTGCATTTCTTTCCACTTCCTCTGACACTCAGAATATCTCCTCCTCCCACTGCTCTAGAGATAGCCATAACCCAGGCTGGCCTGGAGCTCCTTCCTTATACAGCTCAGCATATTGAATTCTGATAGCCCTCTTGTGTGTCTTAAGAACATGAGCTCTTAATTTTTACTTTTTTTTTTTCTAAAGTGCTGGAGGTGAAAGAAGAGATGAGAGAGAAAGGCCTGTGTTTAGAGTCCCACAGGCAGTTCAGGTGTGTGCTTTACCACAAGCTGTGGAAGCCGTAGAAAGCATCTTCTTAACTAGCTGAGGCATGGGCTGTGCTGGGACTTACCAGGGAGGGTCTGAACATTTTTTCAAGTATTCATTCCAGAGCTGGTTTTTAAGGTACATGCTGAATCTTGGGTTTAGTTATCATTGCCAAGTTTACATTAATAGGAATGTTAAGCTTTCAAATATATTTCAGAGTTGCTTTGCCTTTCAAAGAATTTTTTTTTGCTTTAGTGGTGAGATTGAAATAGTTTTTGCTATCTAAACACTATGTATGTTGTTAACTGAGCCTTAAGGTACAGGTTAATAATTCCAGCTTCTTGGGAGGCTGAGGCAGGAGGATTGCAAGTTCCAGGCAGTCTGGATGAATTAATTAGTGAGGCCCTGTGAGAAAAACGAGGGAAAGATTGAAAAGTCCTTGTTTAAGTTCTCTGCATCAACACACAGATAGACAAACAGACGGACCCACTGTACTGAGTCTGTGCTTGCTTGGCCTTAGTCCATTTAGATGAAAATGTTGAACATGAAGTATCTTCTCTCTTCCTCAAAATCTCTTGTTTTTGAGACATTATTCTTATGTTTAATTTTATATGTATTTATTTACTTAGTGTATGTATGTGGGTGCATGTTGCCATATGCCTTTACCTCCTGAGCCACCTGGAAGCCCATACTTTTATGAACTATTTGTGCATTATGTTCAAAAGACAGTATGATATTCTGATAGCATTACTGTTTTATTATCATTTTAATAATGGATAATTTTGTCTTATGTAGCTGCTTCAGTTACTCTAATGAAAAGTGCAGTTGTGCTGTGGCAGCCCAGTGAACTGCTGAGGCATATGTGAACAGCTGAAGGGAGATGCTGGAAAGTGACAGAGTTTCTCAGGCACCTGCCTCTGTTTGCACTGCAGAAGTGACCCCGCAGCTTTGGTCTGAATTACTGTACTCTCCTTGGGCAGTAGCCTAGTTCTGTGCTACATTCTAGACATGCTAGAGGGGTCTTTTTATGAGCGAAAGGACCATTTATCCATAGAGATCTTGATCCTTAGAGAACTGATCCATTCATAAGTATTGCATTGATTTTGTTCACAGGGTAAATGGCTACTCCTACGCATTAAGTGATTATTTAACTGCATTATGGTCAGGTCAAGTTGAGGGGCTTTCAAAACTTTTTTTATTTAAGATGTATTCTTTTGGACCTGAGCACAAATGCTTGCTTCCCACCCCAAATGCTTGAGACACACGCACAATAATAATTATTCTTAACCAGGCATGGTTATGCACACCTTTAATCCCAGCACTCAGGAAGTAGAGGCAGGTGGATCTCTGAGTTTGAGGCCAGCCTGGTCTACAGAGCAAGTTCCAGGACAGCTCGGGAAACACAGAAAAACCGTGTCTTGAAAAAAATAAAACCAACACAAACAAACAAACAAACAAACAGAATAAAAGAATAGAATTTATTCTTTGTGAGTGAATGCACACCACACTAGTTCTTAGAAGTTACAGATTGTGTTAGTCACCATGTGGTTGGTGGAAATCAAACCCAGGTTCTCTAGAAGGACAACAGGTACTCTTAACCCTGGAACTATCTTTCTCTCCACCCCCCTATTGTAAAAGGAATTCTGATTAGAGCTCAGACTTCGCAATTGCTAGATTAGTGCTCTGTCCTGGCTGCCTGCTCCGTCCTCATGTCAAGTTGAGAACAACCATTCCAGGGGAAACTTAACTGAGAATGCCATCGGAGGGTTAGGTCCCAAGCAATATGACCTCATAGTTCCCTAATTCTGGTCCGACAACTGGAGTGGAGGGGGCTTTTCATGAAGAAACAAACTACTTGTAGTATCACAATCCCTAAATAACGGTGTGTATGGGATTATTGTAAACAATTTTAAAATACAATTTTTTTCTAAATCCTCCTAAATATCTTGGGAAGAATAATTTTTGTCTTCGTTTTATAATTGAGGAAAACAAGTTCCAGAGAGGGTTAGGAGCAGCGTGACTGAAATCTGTGAGTTATAAGACCTAGATGCCACACTCCTGGTTATGATTTCATACTGCTGCACTGTGGGGCATTGTGACACTTCTGATAAATTCATAATCATTGTGAACTTATGTATATATATTATATACATAATATATTATACATAATATATATGTATATACATAATATATACATAATAATATATATTATGCATAATATATATGTATATACATAATATATACATGATAATATATATTATGCATAAGAACATATGTTTGTATATATAATTATTAGAATATATTACATAAATATATTTTGTAGATAATTATGTAGTAATATATATAATATGTATTATGCACACAAACATATGTCTTTATATAAACAAGCATATGTTCTTATCTGGTCCTTGTGATTATTAGCTAGATTCTAGTTTGCTTTTTTGTTACTGTTAAACATCATGAGCCGAAAACAAATGAGATAGGAAAGAGTTTTTAGTTTACAAGTTACAGTCCATCCTTGAGGGAAGTCAAGGCAGGGGCGTGAAGCAGAAATGTATGGAGGAATGTACCTGCTGGCTGCTTCCTCTGTTTGCTCAGCTCCCTTCCTCATAGTCTCAGGCCCAGCTGCCTAGGGATTTAACTGCCCTCAGGGGACTGGGCCGGCTACACCTGCTAGTAACCGGGCCCCACAGACACGCCCCAGGACAGACTGCTGGAGGGAATCCCTCAGCTGAAGTGCCTTCTTCCCAAGTGTGTGGACACCTGAAACTGTGACAGTATTATTGCATTTTTAAAGATTTGTTTCATTTTTAATTATATTTATATGTGTGTCTCTGTGTGCTATGTGCACATGAATGCGGTGATTCTGGAGGCCAGAAGAGGGTGCCAGACTGTCTGGACCTGGAGTTCCGTGCCCCCATGATCTGCCTGACATGGGTGCTGGGAAATGAGCTCAGGTCCTCTGCAGAGCAGCACGTGCTCTTAGCCACTGACCTTCTCTCCAACCCATACTTTTCTTTTTCCGTTTTGATTGTTAAAAATATTCTTTTAATTTTTATCTTTTAGTTACTGGCATGACTGAACAGTTTATTATCAACTATTCTATTTGTAATTTTCCTTTCCCCATTTATCCTTTAATGGGTATTTTAACATTTTATTGTTTATGAACTTTTATATATTTATATTTGGGATATTAGCCCTTTGTCATGCTTGCAACATATATTTTATCCAGGTTGCTTGCATTTCGGTTGCTTTTGTTTATATAGTCTTCTGACTAACAAATGGAAGTTTTTATATAGTTGAGTTTATCATTCTTATTTCTTTTATAGATTTATGCTTGGTTTATTATCATTTTAAACAACATTAGTAAGATAAAAGGGTCCCGGCATAATAGTTTTATCATTGCAACAGCAAATATCGAATGAGCGATGTAATTTCTTACATACTTTATGAAACGTTTAACATATTTTCATGTTATTGCTCTATTTCTTTGTCAATTTCGATAGTTTGTGTTCATTTTACCATATCATCTAGTTGAATATCCTGTTAACTCAGGCATTACTGACAGATTTTATGACTTAAGACCTTAAAATTAAAATAGTAACCTTTCTGCAAATTCCTCGTCTTCTTCCCATCTTATTTCTTTAGAGCATAATTCTGAAACCAGAATTAGTAAGCTTTACTGTGTTGGCAGTGTTGCCGTTAGGCCCAGACAGGAGCTGTTTCAGCCCTGCCCGCTGCGCTGTGGACGTGGTGAACTGCATGAGGCTCTGTTACAGCTGCAGTCATCTACAGGGTTGGCTTCTTCTTAGCTTAACGTATGTGAAAGTACTTACTTCTTAAAGCATAGATTGCTATGAAAATTTATCTAGCTAAGCAGTCTTGCTAGATTTAGTGTGTGTGTTAAAGTGGGAGAGAGGTCTTAGGGGTTGAGCCCAGGGGTCATAAACATGTAATCAAGTGATATACCAGAATGACATTTCTCAGACCTGTAATTCTACAGTTTGATATCACATAAAATGTTAGCGACAAGGGTCTGAGGGCAGAGCAGCGCTTCCTGGATCCACGTCCAACCTTCTTTTCCTTTGAAGAAATTGTAAGATTCAGACCTTTAGCTGGAACAATTTTTTTCCCCACCCCGAGACAGGGTTTCTCTGTAGCTTTGGAGCCTGTCCTGGAACTATCTCTTGTAGACCAGGCTAGTCTGGAACTCACAGAGGTCCACCTGCCTGGGCCTCTTGAGTGCTGGGATTAAAGGCGTGCGCCACCACTGCTTGACTAGCTGGAACAATCTTTAAAACACTTGAAAATTTATATCTTGGTGTTATGAAAAAGCTATGACAATTTTTCTTTTCATTTCAGAGAACACTTTTTACAGCTGGCTAGAAGGTAAATCAGAAACTTTTAAACAAATTTAAATGGTAAAGTTTTTCATTTTTAAAGTCGTGAAATCTTAAATTACCAAGATTCACATACAAAATTTTATTTTTGACCCATTGGTTTCTTTTAGGCCTCTGTGTAGAAAAGAGAGCATTCTACAGGCTTATATCTGGTCTCCATGCAAGCATTAATGTACATTTGAGTGCAAGGTATCTTTTACAAGGTATGTACTTTTAAAATCTTAAATGCACTTATTTTTAGGTATTTTTTTAATTGATATTTATTGAGCCCTACATTTTTCTCTGCTCCCCTTCCTGTCTCTCCCCTCCCTCCTTCAGCCCTTTCCCCTCAAGGTACTCAGGAGATCTTGTCTTTTTCTACTTTCTACTTCCCATGTAGATTAGATCTATGTAAGTCTCTCTCAGTGTCCTCATTGTTGTCTGAGTTCTCTGGGATTGTGATTTGTAGGCTGGCTTTCTTTGCTTTATGTTTAAAAACCACCTATAAGTGAGTACATGTAATGATTGTCTTTCTGTGTCTGGGTTACCTCACTCAAAATAATGTTTTCTAGATCCAACCATTTGCCTGCAAAAGTCAAGATGTCATTATTTTTTCCTGCTGTATAGTACTCCACTGTGTAAATGTACCACATTTTCCTTATCCATTCTTCGGGTCAGGGGATATTTAGGCTGTTTCCAGGTTCTGGCTATGACAAACAAAGCTGCTGTGAACATAGTTGAGCACATGTCCTTGTGGCACAATTGAGCATCCTTTGGATATATACTCAAAAGTGGTATTACTAGGTCTTGAAGAAGGTTGTTTCCTAATTTTCTGAAAAATCGCCACACTTGACATCCAAAGGGAATCCAGCTTGCATTCCCACCAACAATGCAGAAGTGTTCCCTTTTCCCCACAACCTCTCCAGCATAAGTTGTCATCAGTGTTTTTGATCTTGGCCATTCTTACAGGTGTAAGATGGAATCTCAGAGTTGTTTTGATTTGCATTTTTCTGATGACTAAGGATATTGAACATTTCCTTAAGTGTCTTTCAGCCATTTTAGATTCCTCTGTTGAGAGTTCTCTGTTTAGGTCTGTACTCCATTTTTTTAAATTGGATTATGTGTTCTTTTGGTGTCCAGTTTCTTGAGTTCTTTGTATAATTTGGAGATCAGACCTCTGTCTGATGTGGGGTTAGTGAAGATCTTTTCCCATTCTGTAGACTGTCGTTTTGTCTTGTTGACTGTGCCCTTTGCTTTACAGAAGCTTTTCAGTTTCAGGAGGTCCCATTTATTAATTGTTTCTCTCAGTGTCTGTGCTGCTGGGGTTCTATTTAGGAAGTGGTTCTCTGTGCCAGTGCGTTCAAGTGTACTTACCACTTTCTCTTCTATAAGGTTCAGTGTGGCTGGCTTTATGTTGAGGTCTTTGATCCATTTGGACTTGAGTTTGTGCATGGTGATAGATATGGGTGTATTTTCATTCTAACATGTTGATATCCAGTTCTGCCAGCACCACTTGTTAAATATACTTTCTTTTTTCATTTTATATATATATATATTTTTAATATTTATTTATTTATTTAGTATATAATATCTGTCTGCATGTATGCCTGAAGGCCAGAAGAGGGCACCAGACCTCATTACAGATGGTTGTGAGCCACCATGTGGTTGCTGGGAATTGAAATCAGGACCTTTGGAAGAGCAGGCAATGCTCTTAACTGCTGAGCCATCTCTCCAGCCCCCATTTTATATTTTTTGCTTCTTTGTCAAAAATCAGGTGTTCCAATGGAGTGTGGATTGATGTCCGGGTCTTCCATTTGATTCCATTTGTCCTCCTTTCTGTTCTTATGCCAATGCCAGGCTATCTTCAGTACTATAGCTCTGTAGTAGAGTTTGATGTCAGGGATTGTGATGCCTCCAGAAGTTCTTTTATTGCATAGGATTGTTTTGGCTATCCTGGGTTTTTTGCTTTTCCATATGAATGAAGTTGAGTACCGTTCTTTCGAGGTCTTTGAAGAATTTTGTTGGGATTTTGATGGGCATTGTGTTGAATCTGTGTTTTTAGGTATTAACATTTTCTTGGTGTTTACGTGGATGTAAAACAGACCTGTTTGACTATCGGGCAGTAAGAATCCACTTGTAAATGGCTGTGATCAGGAAGGTAGAGCTGTGTGCAGTTGAATGGCTCCATATATTACTAACTCTCTCAAAATACACCCAAGAGCACTGTTTGTTACCACAGGAGAGCCTTTATTTATGTGCAGACTTTAATGGCTACAGCATTATCTGCTGTTCTTCATGGTTCAGGATGCTTGTAGAAAGTTGAACCATGGTTGATTTTCCCAGTAACTTACTTCTTCTGGACTTGGGAAATATTTTACCTTTTAGAAACAAAATGGAAACTGATTTGAAATAGTGCTTTAAATTTGTTAGTAATTTCAGATAGTCACTCCAAACAATCTCCTTTTATTTCTAATTATATGTACCTATGTGAGTTATGTGCATGTGAATACGGATGCCTTAAGAGCCAGAGGTGTCAGGTCCTCATGGAGCAGGAGTTACAGGCAATTGTGAGCTGCCATGGATTCTGGGACCAAGTTATGGTGCTCTTAACTGCTCAGCTACCTCTCCAGCTTAGCAACTCATTTTTAATTAGATATTTTGATTTTATGATTGTTGATATTCAGAAATTTGATTTTTATCAAAACCCATTTTCTCTGTAAATATTTGATTTATTTTGCCTTTAAGAATGGGTTCTCTGGGGCTGGAGAGATGGCTCAGTAGTCGGGAGGACTGACTGCTTTTCCAGAGGACTCGGGTTCGATTCCCAGTACACACATGGCAGCTCACAACAGTCTGTCATTCCAGGTCCAGAGGACCCAACGCCCAGGGTAAAACACCAATGTGCATAAAATAAAAATAAATAAATTAAAAATAAGAATGGGTTCCAGAAGACAAAATTCTTTCTACAGAATTTCTAAATTATTTATCTATCTATCTATTCATTCATTCATTCATTCATTCATCTACCTACCTATCTATCTATCTCATCCATCCCTCTCTATCTATCTCTCTATCTCTATGTATCTATGTATCTATGTATCTATCTATCCATCCATCCATCCATCCATCCATCCATCCATCCATCACTTTGTAGTTTTTCAAGCAGAGTTTCTCTGTGTCCTGGAATTCACTCCGTAGACCAGGTTGGCCTCGAAGTCACTGAGATAT